CGCCTGGGAGCCCCCCCTCGGGGGGCCCCCAGTGGCGATACCCCTAAATGGCGAGGGTCCTACGGGGGCCCCCAGCCCGGGAGGCCCCACCCTGGGGTGGCTCCCTGTTCAGGGGGGCCCCCCTGTGGGGGCCCCTGTGAGGGCCCCTGTGGGGGCCCCCCCTGTGGAGATCTTGCCTATGGAATTCTGCCCCGCTACAGAGGGGCCCCCTGTGGGGCCGCCCTCCCCTGTAGGGGGCCCCTCCCCTGTGAGGGCCCCCTCCCCTGTGGGGGGCCCCGCTGGGGGGCCCCGCAGGGGGGGCCCCCCTAGCCGAGGGGCCCTTGTGGCAATGAAGCCCCTGAGGGAATTCCCGGGGGTCTCTGCAAACTTCGATGGGCTGTGGCAAATATGGCTGAGACAACAAGAGGCCCTTTCTATTGAAGATGTACCCCCCTTGGGGGCTGGGGGGCCCTCTAGTACCCTCCCGGAGGGGGCCCCCCCGGCTAGGCAGAGCGGGGGGGCCCCCTCGGGGGCCCCCCCGGGGGGCCCCCAAAAGGAGGCCCCCGGGGGCCCCCAAGAGGGGCCCCCAGAAACTTATAGAGTTATGCTAAATGCTAGTAATGCTGAAGACGAGCTTGTCTACGATGTGTACAAGGAACAGCCCCTCCCGGACCCTGTTGCTGCAGCAGCAGCAGCAGCAGCAGCAACAGCGGCGCCCCCCCCAAGCGTCTACCCCAGCGAAGACCCTCTGGGGCCCCCAGCAACCTGGGGGGCCCCAGGGCCCCCCCCAGTAGACCCTTTTGCTTCTGCTGTGGGGGCCAGCGAGGGCTTTAATACCTTTTGGGAGAGGATGCAAAGAAATAGGGCGCAGCAGTACTACTGAGGTGTACGTACACCCGGAGCCGGGGGAGGAGGGCGTGCTGCTTCTGCAGCAGCAGCAGCGGCAGCAGCAAGGGACAGGCGTTTGCTGCAGCAGCAGCAGCAGCAAGGGACACAGGCATTGTTTGTGTGTCTGTTTTATTCCCAACTAGACAGTTTGTAGTTAATTTGTCCTTGCGGCGCGACTCCCAGGCTGAGGTGTCTGTACACCTGAGAGCTGCGGAGTGTGGGGTCAGCAGCAGCAGCAGCAGCAGCAGCTGCTGCTTTCATTTTTCTGGTGTTTTTATCTTTTGCAGCAGCCGCAAAGCCGCCCCTCTGCACGCACGTGCATGCCTTTGCTGCAGTTGCTGCTGCTGCTGATTTTGCTGCCTCTGCACAGCGCCGAAGCGCTTATTTGTCCATTCCAAAACTAATACTTGTTTGTCTGTTTTGAAACTAAAATAAATAACAACTCTTCTAGAGATCTGACAAGTTTCAAAAGGATTAGAAAACCTTCAAGTTGGTGTCTTTTCAGTCGGAGGTAAAATGACAAAAAAAAACAGAAAGTCTGACCTCTGTTGTACGTGCACCTCAACCTCAACCTCAACCTCCAGCACCCCAAAACCACAAAAAAATCCAAAAAAGAATAAATATACATATAAGTCCTATTCAAAACAATATATATATATATATATATAATATATATATAGTTATATATACATATATATATTTGCAGAATTAAATGCGGTTCAAAAATCAGAAACCTGCTCATTCAGGTGTACGTACACCTCACGCAGCCCTAGGAAAAACGCCGACTGCCACATTTTGGCGCCGAAATGGAAATTCCAAATGATTTAAAATGAAGAAAGGGAAATAAACACAAAATCTAAATAATATTTGCAAAAAAAGAAAACAACATTTGCAAAAAAAGAAACAAAGCTTCAAATGAAATCCAGAAATGCATGCATAGACAAACAGGTGTACATACACCAAAAACTGCGCCTTTCCGAGTGCCCAAATCTGTAGGCAATCTATCCACTCACAAAAATTCACTTTCAAGTATCTTATTTGTACAAACATATAAATAAATAAATATATCTAAATATAAATATATCTAAATATAAATACATATACCCACGTATACATGTAAACATATATATATACATACATACATATATATATACACATAATCTGTATGTACATACGTACAGATGCAGAGGCCAAATATAAAAAATATGCATAATGCACAAATTCATTTAAATGGAGAAATAAGGAAAAAATAAGACACCGAACTATAAACATGCCAAAATCAATAAACAGCGTCAAAGTCTGAAGATATATTTGCAAACAAATCTGTACAAACATCTACTTAAAAATATAATTCCATTTACACTGCCAACGCCCACGCATGCATATGCCTATATATAAATCCACAAGTACAAATATATATATATATACAATAATGTACAAATTATACCTAGAGTATATATATATATATCTATAGTTAGAACTATATATACATATATATATATATATAAACATATCTATATTTATATATATCACATATAAATGTACATATATTTATATGAGTGTGCACATGGGGACATACATATATATTATATATATATATGAGTTGACATGCAAATACATATATCCACTACAATAATACATATACATTCATTTAATTGTACACTTTTACTTATATATATATATATATGCCTACATAGGTAAACACATATATTAGGCACCTAAGTATATATGGGTACATTCATACATGTGTTTGCATGTGTATCTATGTACAAGTATATATATATATATATATAATATACAATATGTATATATATGTATATCTCAGTAACATTACAAATATATATATATATATATAGATTAATATATATATCAATATATATAGTTACCTACATACAAACACATTTCATATATTTGAAAGCGCATGCAAACAGAATAGATTTCCCAAAATACGAATAAGTATAAACAAATGAACAACACGAATGATACAAACTATTTAAATAAAACAAATAATGCAAATTATGCAGATAAACAAACACGCAGGCCCACACGAACTTTGCCCATCTGTCTAAAAAGAAATAATAAAAAGTGAAAAAAGAAATCGTAAGAAAAGAAAAACGTAAGAAGTCCAGCATAGCCTTTTGGATAAGTTTAGCTGCAACTTGCATGCACGCAAAAAGGGGAAATGTCGAAAAAAAGGAAGAAAAAACATTTTAAATCCAGCCCCAAATGCATGCAAAGTGCTCATCCATTACAAACTTATGAACTATAGAAGTCCCACTAATCATATAAATATAAATGCATTGAAGTACTTCTAAAAGTATGAAATGAATCAAATACATTTAATGAAGCAGGTATTCTTCAAAATAAATATATTTTAAGCACAAAGGAACAAAGATGAAGAAATTGATAGCGCACTGAGCATGCAACAACTTCTGAAAAGATATTTAAATGTCCATTTACAAGCATTTAAATATATTTGCGCATTTATAAACACCTTAAGATACAATTTTAATTTCAAATATTCAAATTTTCATTCGTGCGAAAAGTCGAACGCATGCGCGCAGCAGCTGTATGTACACTCCAGAACAAACGCCAACGCCCAGAGCTGACAAATAAATGCAGAAAATGCATCAAAATAATGAAAAGCTGCACATAAATAGTATTTAAATAATATTTAAATAATATCTGCGTATTATTTAATTATTATTTACACATTTTGTGCATTTCTATGCTTTTGTGTGCCAAGTGAAAGACTCAAAAAGTCGAGTGTACGTACACCGAGACACCTATGGACTTCATAAACTTTTTTTTCGCAACAAAAAAACAAAAAACAATTGCAAGCATTTGAAGCACTTATAAACATTAATAATATAATATAAATAAATATTAGAAATGCATTTAAACCCCCTAGTATGTGTATAGTACAATTGAGCAAAAATACACAACCAAGCAAATATGTGCAAATGCAAACAAATCCACCAACAGCCCAAACCTTTACATTTTAAAGCAATCACAAACATTAACAACTCTATAAACACTAAAATTTAATGGTAAACATCTGTACACATGTGTTATAGATTTACAGACACATATTTACAAACATGCACTAACACATACTGAATGTTTCTAGATATATACTGGCCATCCATGAACATATATATATATATATATATATATATATCTAAATCTGCATATACTTACATAATACATAAATATATGTATATGATATACATATATATATATGTAGCCAAAGAAATATGCTAACACTGGTACAATTACGCATTGACATATATATCCTACGAATAAATATACATAAACTAAATTAATAAATTATAATATTAACATAAACAAATAAATACGTACATATTGAAGAAAATACAAGTTCATCTACTTTCATGCATATATACACATACATGAGCACATGCTTAGAAAAACCAATGAGAAACAACACAAATACATATTTACAATATATTGAGATAAGTATTCAAACTAATAAATGCATAAGCATTATACACATATAAATCTACAGATTCACAAGGAATATATATATATATATAATATATATATATCTTTAGATATAAAAATATATCTAAAGATAAGAAACACAAGTGTAAATATACACACGTCAATAAACACAACTTTAAATACAAAAGTGAATTTTACTCCGTTACACAACATAAATGTAGAAATGAACGAGACTTGCACTTTAATACTACTTTTAAATGAAAATGATTTTAACATGTTCCCATTTGTAGCCAAGAGATGCATGCAAAGATGTTACGGGGTGTACGTAGACCCCAGCCCGCTAGCAGCAAGACTTTCTGCATTTTTAAAGTCAAATTTGAGCAAAAGTTTCGGCGACTAATCCCAATTGATTTTAAATGTGGAATAATATGTTTATTTAGACGCATTTTATCCCCCAACAGACGGAAAAAGAAGCAAAAACTGGAAAAATAATTTTGAGTCCAAACAAATAAAGCAACTTTTGCATTCAAAGTTCAAAAAATATCCCAAAAGTTTCAAGAAGCCTGCATGCAGGAAATAGGTCTAAATGAACTCAAAGAGGTGAAGCTGCAAATTCAAATAGTGCCAAAAGATATGCTAAGAAAGAAACAGAAAAATGACAAGTGCATGCATGCATGCATGCATGCATGCATGCGTTGGCATGCATGCGGTGTATGTACATACTACACCAAAATCCATAAGCCAGTCGCTTTGGCAAAAATGGCGAAACAAATATAAAACTCTTATGAGTACACAAAGCTAGTTATATTTCCATTAAAACAGAGAGGAACAGTTCCTTTTGGAAATACATTTATCTGCAAATAACCAAAAACTTTTGACGATACTTCTGCATTTGAGGCTGCAACACTAGAATAGATTTTCTTGCAAAATTGCCGAATTTAAAATTCCAATTTGCCAAAAAGGTAATTAAAACAAACAAATAGCCATTTGGGGCTGTACATACATCTAAAAGTCCACATGAAATGCCGAAATTCCCTTTCTCCCGAAGCATGCAAAAGCCCTCTGGGGTGTACATACACCTGAAACAGTTTGGAAGTTTTTGGCTTCTCACCTCCTAATGTCTCGTTGCCTCAAAAACAAAAAATGGAAAGCTCCGAAAAATGAAATATAAACGAATAACTAAATATATGCATTTTTGAGAAGGAACGCATGTGTTTTCCACTTCCACTTATTTACCTGCAAATGCAGAAACAAATATAACTCTAAACACAAGTACATAACA